TGTTTTACAGTGTTTGCATATGAGAGGGGGTGGAAAAATCCAGAAATGTTTTCCAGTGCATTTCCTTCCTTCCACCCCCAACCCTGCTAAAGATACAGCATGCAGATTTCATGGGGTGGCAGGGCTGTTCCCAGGTGCTAAATTCTTATGTGTCCAGTGCCCTTCCTGGTGGGAATGGCCTCGTATACTTTTCATCACTACAGTGCTAGCAAATACTGGGCCCAGAGGAAGTGCCAAGTAAATGTGTGGATTACTTGCTGATTTTGTACCTGGTATTGAACTCTGCAGGGGATGTGGCCAAGACATTATGGTCTACCTGGGAAGATCTCCACTTCCTTTTTCTCTCCACCTTTAGATATTTTATCTGCCAAAATCCAGCTCCATCCTTTTAACTGAACTGTGTTTTTTTGGTGGTTGCTGAAGACTTTCATTCGGTTAAACCAAGTGTGTGTGATTGTGTGTATGTGGTCACCAGTCCCTCGTGAAGGCAACTGATCTTTTCAGCATCAACTTCTTGAGTGTTTCTCCTTGATGATTCCCTTTCCCAGTTCCTTTACTTTCCTGATTTTTTTCCTCTTCTCTATCTACCTCTTTTTTTTCCTTCTGCCCCCCTAGTTTGACTCTTGATTTTGTCCTCAATCTTCTCATGTCTTGTTGCTTTATCTTGTTGATTTCCTTCATCCCTTCAGCTTCTTACCTCTATATAAATGACCTCCCACCCAAAAATCTAGTGCTGTTTTCATGTTCTCTGTGCCGGGCTTGGGTTTCCAACTGCCCACAGGACATCCACACTTACATGGCCCATGTTTAATCACAAATCCAGCATCTCCAATAGTGAACCTAGTATTTCGCCTACCCCACTCTCCTTTCTCTTCTCAACTGTTTTATTTCAGGCAATTAAAACCTCATTCTTTTCAACAGAAATGCAAACCAAGTGGTCATTATTGATATCTCACTTTCTTTCACCTCTCATATGACATCTGTCACCAATTTTCCCCAAGAAAACATTGCTTAAATTTGCTCCTGTGCCACTGCCAACAGCCAGCCCAGCCCTGCCCAGCATCGCAGGAACAGCCTCTCAACCTCTCTGGCTCATGTGCTCTTCGCTGGTGTTCCAGCTTAGGCGGGCCCATCACTCCCCATTCCAAAGCCGAGGGTGGTCCCTGCCGCCTGCTGAGTAAAGCATGCCTCCTTCTTGCTGTTCTCAACCATCTGTCTGTGACTCCCAAGTCCTCCCTCTGTCTCCTCCATAATTAATGGACCGAATCTCTGAATCATTATGGAGTGTCTTCTACCCACCATGCACTGGGACCAGGCCATGAAGAGAGGAGACCAGGGATTCCTGTGCGAGCAATCTCACTGCTTCTCAGCCCCCTTGCTGTCCAGTTCCTTCCACCCCCATTATTAAAAGCCCAGCTTGTCTTGCCTCTTCCTCAAAGCTGCTCTCAACCTCTTTGGCCCATAGTGGTGAACCCCTTAGCAAAATTCCTTTTGTTCTTGTTGCAAGCACCCCTTTAGCTATTCTCCAATTTTTTCACGTATGTTAGTTTTAATTTCTAACTGGATTATAATATCCTTGAGGTCCACGGTTTTTATCTGTGGTGCTAACTACTCCCATTGTTGTGTGTGTTGTCATTAGTGAAGTTGTATTCATAATAGCCACTACTAATCTGCAGTAATATGTAATGAAGATACAATTAGGATAATACAACGAAGTAGGCACGTCTAGGAGTGCTTTATATGCATTTTCTTATCTAATGAGTACTCAGCACGTACTTAATTGACTTAAGTAATTGACACAATATTCAGAAGCTGGGTCTCAGGGAAGTCTCTCTGTTGAGACCCAGTTTCCTCATCAGCAGTACTGGGAGCGGGGTATCTGCTTTTGAAGGTCCCAACCCTTGGTTCCATTCAATTTCAGTCCACCAATTTCTTGGGACTCTTGATGTATACTCTGCACAAGTCTGTGGCTTAGAGAATATAAAACAAATATGGCAGAATCCCTGCCCTCAGCGTTTTCACCACCCATTGTAATAACAGGCAGCCAGGTGTGCCTGAGGGATAGAGAATTGGTGCCTGAGGGAGCCAATTACATCCCTGGGAGAAAGCAGGGAGGTTCGCTCCTGACAGTTGATTTTAATTAGAAGGTTCGTGAAGGAGGAGGGATTTCTGTTCCCTTGAAGGAGGCAGTCGACTGAGTGGAAGCACAGAGGCGTCTCTCGGCAGGACTGGCGGGCAGAGCAGCCGATAAACCTGAGCAGGTTATACTTCAGACCAACTCACGAGACGTTTTGCTGCGTGCTAACTTTAACGTGGTGACTATGCTGATGTTGCTGCTCCATAGGAAGGGGGAATCTCGACTCTCTCCGATAAGTGTGTGGGGTCTCCGAGGGGTGAAACTTCTGGATGTTTGCGATGCATCCTCCGAAGAAAACCATTCATTTTGGCATCCGCACATGCTGAGCCACGGAGGAGAATGAGACATCTGGCTGGATTCCTGACACGGTTAATCACAACGACAGTCAGCGAAAGCTAGCGTCTCATAGCAGTAAATATTTATTTATGCCTCTCCTCATTTCAAAATGGAGCTGAAGGGGTTTGCAAATGTAGTCACAGGCAACAAGATAAAAATACAAGAGGCAAAACTCGAGAAGATAAAAAGCAAAAATAACAGGGTGAGTCAAAAGAGAAGTGTGAATGCCTGACCAAGGCTCTAAATACTTTTACCTGGAGTGAACTGCACAACTGGAGCTTGGCGTCTTGGCAACTCATGGGTGATTTTCCTAAAGCAAAGTGGAGGGGGTTTTTGACTTTTTTTTTTTTGCAGTTTTTTTTTATTATTTATTTATCTTTAGAGGGGAAGGGGGGAAGGAGAGAGGGAGAGAAACATCAATGTATGGTTGCCTTTTGTGCGTCCCCTGCTGGGAACTGGCCTGCAGGGAACCGGCCTGCAACCCAGGCATGTGCCCTGACTGGGAATCGAACCGCGATCGTGTGGTTCGCAGGCCCGCGCTCAATCCACTGAGCTACACCAGCCAGGGCTGACTTATTTTTTTATAATACACTTTTCATTTTAGAATGCTGTAGACCTACAGAATTATCATGCAGAGGTAGTACAGAGAACTCCTGAATGCCCTATGCCCAGTTCCCCTGTTATTGATGTCTTACGTTATAATAGTACATAGGACACTATTAATGAACCAGTATCCATACAATATTATTAAGTAAAGTTCATAGTTCGCTCAGATTTTTCTCTCTTTTACTTTATGTCCCTTTTCTTTTAAAAATGTCTTTAAATTTTTCAATTATACTTCACATACAATCTTATATTAGTTTTAGGTGTACGACATAGTGATTAAACACTTGTATAACTTATGAAGTGATCCCCCCAATACATCTCATCTGACACCATACAGAGTTACTTAATATTGCAGATTACCTCTCCTGGGCTAGACTTCACATCCTCATGACTCTGTAACTGGCAATTACTCCTTAATCCCTTCGCCTCTGGCACCCACCCTCCAACCCCCTCCCAACCAGCAACCATCAATTTGTCCTCTGTATCCGTCAGTTTATTTCTATTTTATTTTTGTTTATTTGGATTTTTAGATTCTGCTTATGAGTAAAATCATATGGTGTTTGTCTTTCTCAATCTTATTTACTTCACTTAGCATAATACCCAGTAGGTCCATCCCTATTGTTGCAAATGGCAAAAATGTCATTCTTTTTTATGGCGGAGTAATATTCCATTGTATATGCGTACCACTTCTTCTTTACCCGTTTATCTATCAGTGGACACTTAGGTTGCTTCCGCGTCTTGGCCGTTGTAGATAATGCTGCAGTGAGTGCAGGGGGGTATGTATCATTTCAGAGCAGTGTTTTGGAATTCTTTGGGTGAAACGCCCAGAAGAGGTCTCATCGTGGCTTCTCCTTCATATCCTTAGCCACAGGACTTCTGCTCAGCTAGTCTTCAGCTGGTTCTCAATGACGGTTGTTTGATAATAGAGTTGTAATTTTGTTGTGGTCGTGGGCCGAGGCGGGCACAGTGTTTACCTACTCTTCCATCTCGACTGGAAGTCTAAAGGAACATTTTTATTTTCGTTTTGCATGTGTAATTCTCTACTTTTGCTTTTATGTTATATTGTTAAGTTTGTTGGAGTAATACCAATACTCTTACATAACTTCCAGGTGAACGAGATCATAATTTGACTCCCATGTGCTCGCCACTCACAGTCTCGTTATCTTTTGCTGCTAACAGTAGACCCTCTTGACTCACTGCCTCCCCCACCCGATTTTCCCCTAATAACCACCACCCCATCGTCTGTGTCCATGGGTTTGGTCTTGCTTATTTTGTCAGTTCTTATTTTTCCTTTTTGTTGTATATTCCACAGGGAATAAAATTACAGGACTTTTGTTCTTTTTTCTGACTGACTTATTTCACATAGCATATAATGTTGAGGGGATTATACAAAATTTTAATTTTTAATACAATGATGTCACATCTTGAAGATTCCAAGCATGTATTCAGAGCCTTATCCTTATCAATGGAAGAGACTTTGTGCCCTGGGCATAACGCTGGTTTTTTTTTTTTGTTTACCTCAACTGCTGTTGCAATGAGTGCATTGAAAACAAAAGCTGAAAGCAGAACACCTTCCGGAGGCTTTTTGAGAGAGTTTCTGTGGCTGCGTCATACACAATATGCCAGTGACTTTTTCAAGGAAACCCCAGTTCTGAGGTTAAAGAGGTCGAAGAGAATTTCCTCTATTTAGAAAACATAATTGTCATTTTTAAAATCTCCTTTTAGGCAAGGCTTCTCTCTCAGCCTCTCTGTCCACACACACCTCTTCCCCAAACACACTTTTATTAGTCTGCACCCCCTGAGAGCGGGCACTCTGCCCCGAGCCCCTGGGGTATTTATAATGGAGAACAGGGGAACAGAGAGTGATGGCCGTGAGGCTTCCCTGCCCTGGTGCATGACCCGGCTTTGCATCTGTTGACAGCGTGAAGCAGAGCGAGCGCTACAGCCAACTGACCCTGCTCAACTCCACGGCGGCCGACACTGGCGAGTTCAGCTGCTGGGGGCAGCTCTGCACAGGCTACATCTGCAGGAAGGACGAGACCAAGACTGGCTCCACCTACATCTTTTTTACAGGTAACAGGTTTGCTGCATTACTGGAACTCTTCACACTTCTGCCCTTGCCCATGTTAAAGGTTCCCACTGTGTGCAGACTATCAATTAATGACCCTCAGAGCACCTACTCTTTGCCATACTCTGGGCTCAATGTGTTCCATCGATTAGTCTCTCAACAACCCTTCAGGGTGTTACTATCATTTATATATTGTTTTTCCCAATGGAAAAGTTGAGCTTTAGAGAGATGAAATAAGTCCTTAAGGTCACACTGTAAGTAATGACTGTATCAGGATTTGAATCCAGAATTGTCTGACTCCAGAGTTCGTACCCACATTTGTCTAATATGATAGCTACTAAATTTAAATGGGAATTAATGAAAATTAAACAAAATTTAAACCTCAGTTTCTCAGTGGCACTTAGCATGTTTCGAGGGCTGCATTGCCATCACTAGCCAGTGGCTAGTGGTTGCCTGGTGGCCACCGTGGACAGAGCGTCTCCACCGTCGCAGGGAGCTCTCCTGGACAGCACTGCTGTAGGCTTTCTGTCCTGTGCCCCCAGAACCAACAATGACCCCCTTTCTGAAACCTCCATAGTCACAGGATGCCTGGCTAAAGGCCCCTTGTCTTTGTTCTTATGAGTACTGAGAGCTGAAGTTTTGGGGCAGGATTCCCCATCCCTGAGCCCCAGTGCGAGTCTGAAAGGGGGCAGGTCAGAGGGAACTCTTCTCCGACCCTGTAGCATTTGGTACGTTTTTACTGGTGGAGCCGCACTCAGAGAAGCAGGCCTCGCAGAGGAGTTTGCCAGACTCCTTCCTCAGCAGCTCGGGTCTGGGGGATGATGCTTTCCAACAAGGCTCAGGGGTCAGCTTTCAGGAATCTTACAAATGCCACGCCCTGGTGCCGCTGTGGTCTAAGGCATTTCAGATGAAGTCAGAATGCCTTCCTAGTGTCAAGGCAGGGCTTTGAGGAGATTCGCCTACTTCCCGAATCCACCTACCTGTCAGACCTTAGTGATTTAGGCAGATGACTCACATGATCTTCTGCCCTTGCCATTAACCAAATCTCAGATGTAATCCCTTCCTGTCCAGATAGCTCCTCTCTGGCAAGCAGATGCACTGGGCAGAGCACGCTACAGTCCTGGAGGCCCCCGTATCTCATTTCATTTCCACGATGCACCCCCCACCTGGGAACTGAGGAGAAAATGCCTTGTTGTCTCTGTTTTAGAAATAGTAATGCTGATGCTGAGACTGGAGGGCGAGGGACCCATTAGATGACGCTTCATGACTTACAGTGGCGGAATAAAGAGTCAAACCATTTTCCCAACCTGGGATTCAGTGTTCTTACTGCCCTAAGCCATTTCTAAAACAAGGCGATTCGTTGATGGGCAGACAGACAGGCACTAACTGGAGTGGTCAGGAGGATGGCAAAGCGTCATTCCTAGGCAATCCCCTCCTCCTCATACGGGGGTGTGCTTTGCGGGAGGCCCGAGTGCCTTGCTATTACACCGAACTGGGAAGCAACAGTGACAAAGGCAACTAATCCAGACCAAGAAGAGCCTGTGATTTTAGATGAGGACTGAGACCATGTTTCAAATTACAGAATGAAGATTCTCTGCCACAGTTAGCAGCACTCTTGTGTCTTCCCCAAACACTGGTTTTTGAAATGAGAGTTTTGAATGGACGACCTCCATTGATCCGAATGACCTATCAGGGTTATGGGCTGTCTTTGGTTGTTTGAGGCAGGTCTCCTTCCTTGATTTGTGGAAGCCTCTTTGTGAATCAAAGGAACACACTCCCCCTCAATTAGTATTTATTTCAACATTCAATAAAGGGATGTGACCTAATGTGTTGTATCATTTTCTCATTCCTCCACACAAAGCCAAGTGTCCAGTTGGATTTTCAGCGTAGGGTTCAGCAGTTTATCTCTTCCGGCCTGGGTGGGTTTGCAAAGCCTGGATGGGCTGTTTGGAGAGCTGAGCTTTCTGCTGCCGGCTCTGGCTGCCTCAGAACATATGCTTCCCCACCACCCACACGGGGACGCGTCTGGCATTCGTTATGTGTGCATGTTTCCTGGGGCTTGGCTGCCAACACTGGGGAGCTTCTTTGTGACTGTTCTTCATTTGTGCGATTTTTGTGTTAATTTGCACAACTGTCACACATAGCATTTACTCATACCCAGGAGGCACTCAAAGGTGTTTCTTTTCCTCTCTAATTTTTTTCCTTAATAACAAAGAAAAAACACAAATTAAAACTATACAGCCTAATGAATTGTCCTCAAGTCACATCTAACTCCTGCCAGATGAAGAAGGAGAACGTTACTGGCAATCGGCCCTTCTCAGAGCAAAGGGCCTGGTCTCCAATTGTCATATGTAGTAAAACCACGTTAATGAGCACTTTTATGAAGTTGGTTATAATTTGGATTTAATTTCTAGCCCATTAACTCTATTGTTTTTTGGAATCTAAATTTTCATGTGTTTAGTTTTCTCCAAGTAATGTTTATTAGCTACTCAAGTAGATATAAACATATTTGCAGAGGGCATTTGTCATCTATAATTTTTAAATGAACTTTAACATACTTTTTTGGTAGATGGAATGTACTGATGATGGAATGTGCTGATTATACATGAATTCTCCCCAACCCCCCAGTTTGTTAAAGCAACTGGTGTGGTCTCTTCTTTTAAAGCATGCAAAGAAGTAAGACTACATTTTTGTGTTCAGAAATTCTGATTGTTATCCTACTGGCTTTGCTTATTGCTTCAGTTTTCTTTTACGAAGCCTTAAAACAAAAGTTGCTTCTAAACATCACAATCATAAATTACTTAAATGCTTTTGCCAAAAAAGATGCATCTAATATGGTCTACTCTGGATTCTTCTCTCTAGAAATGGGAGAGGAGCATCCCAGGCTGGACAGTGACTCTTTGTGAACACAGGACTGTTAGGTAGAACAGTGACAAAGGTCCCCCTTGTCTAAATCTGAGTCATTTATTCATGAGGTGGCACAAACCACCCAGCCTGATATGAAGCCCAGCAAAAGATAGGGCCTCACTGGGCCTCGTGCTACTCTTTCTTGACCTCAGTCAGAGCCGGGAGAGAAATCTCCGCGTTAGTTAATTTGCACCCACTGCCAAAGAACTCTTGGCTCATGAAGACATTTGATGATATGTCCAGAACTTCTGTCCCCAACCTAAAACATCCTGTGACTGTGGCACAAAGAGGCATAGGAAAGGAGAAAGCCAAGAATAATCCGTTGTTGCAGGAACGCTGCAGGAAAAACATGGGAAACAACTGAACAAATGTTGGGGTATAATTAAGTTAAAAGAATCCTCTTAATTACTATAATATTCTCGCATAGTACAGAAAACAAAAGACTTAATGCACCATGCCAAAAACCAAGCAAAAACAAACAAATGAAAAAACCCAATTCAGAGTCCTTTGCACTAAGGAAAGGATGGGCGAGCCAGTCCCCATTTCTGTGAGATAAAAAGACCATTTTCCAGCACCTGGAGAGCACATAGAGTGATTCAAGCAGGCGCAGTGTAAAAAACAGGCTGGAGGTCCGCAGCCCAGGGGCAGCCACGCTGAGCTCAGCACCGGCAAGGAGCAGGTTCCTCATCTGTCTCTCCTCGATTTCCTTTCCACTGACCTTGGTAGAAACGAGGTCCCCTGGGCTGGACCTCTCCGAGGAGCTCTGCTGTGCTGGGATGCACCCCCCCAGTGGCAGTTACTGAGCACAGGTCGCGGGGTTACTTTCTCCAGAGACACAGCAGATGGTTTAACCTACGGCAGTCAATCTCATCCCTGCTTCCTCAAGGCAGGTAACCCATGGGCCTGATTTGGACTTGAACTGAGACCTATTTTAAAGGTGATGGGAAGTAACAACCTTCTTCTGAAAGAGGAAAGTTATTTTAAAAATAGCCTTTTCTACTCATAAGGACTCAATATGCTGAGTATATTGCCAGTCCCCTCTCATCTTTGTGCCCTGCAGACAAATCCATTAAGTGCTCCTTACCATGTGTCTCCAGAATGAATAAACCTGTATGTTTTCCTTTGCAGAGAAAGGAGAACTCTTTGTACCTTCTCCCAGTTACTTTGATATCGTCTACTTGAACCCGGACAGACAGGCTGTGGTTCCTTGTCGAGTGACTGTCCTGTCAGCCAAAGTCACTCTCCACAGGGAGTTCCCGGCCAAGGAAATCCCGGCCAATGGCACAGACATTGTTTATGACATGAAGCGAGGCTTTGTGTATCTGCAACCTCATTTTGATCACCAGGGAGTCGTCTACTGCAAGGCTGAGGCTGGGGGCAAGTCTCAAATCTCCGTCAAGTACCAACTCCTTTACGCAGAAGGTAAACGTGTTTCCTATCAGTGCCTAGATTCTAACTGTGTCCAGCTGGTACGTGGCAGGTACTGATGTTCCCAAGTATGGATAGAAATTAGGAGGTACAGAATGCAGTTCTTAATGGCTCCTTTTTCTGCACCACCATTTCTAGAATGTTCTACACTCTTGGCTATGACTCTGACCCAACACCCCTTGACATCCTTGTCTCCAAATTCATCCATCATTCACTCTGGTACTGACTCTGTATGACTGATCAGCAGTTCTTCAAAATCCCCAACCTCTTCTTAGAACACTCTCTCAGATGAGAACATGCTCTTTGTTTTACCCCGAATCTGTCTTCTCAGGGCACACGCCCTTCTGTTTACCTCCACCCCTGCAGTTGCCCTGTCTACATTCTACTTGCTTCCTCCCCAAGAACCTCCTCTCAGTGTTTTAGTTCCCTTCCTATGAACCCCCGGCAGACCTTTTAGCTTCCTTTCCTAATGACGGGAAATGGCTGCACTTGGGAAGTTCCGGGTTGGGACCCCATTCGGGACCAGCATGTTAGAGAAAAAGAGCAGAGGCTTCCAAGGATGCAAGAGCGGTGGGTTGGAGGAGGCTAACCAGGAAAGGCAGGAATACTACACCTCTGTCCAAAGAAAAGAATGTGTTTGTGGCTTTGTCTTCAGTGTCGTACTCATGGATTTCATCTCACTTTCCCTGTCTCCTGCTTAATTCCAGTTCCCAGTGGCCCTCCATCTACAACCATTTTGGCGTCCTCAAACAAGGTCCAGAGTGGGGATGACATCAGCGTCCTCTGCACCGCCCTAGGGGAGCCTGACATCGAGGTGGAATTCAGGTGGATCTACCCAGGGCAGAAGGTAAGCACCTCGCCCCAGACTCCGCCAGTTGTTTTCATTCAGGTCTCTTTCCCCCTTGCCCGCCTCCCAGGTGGAAGACCTTAACCTACTAAGCCCATGATATGGGTGGAACTATGGTAGGCGCCAGGGCTTGCTTGTTTTCTTCTAAGATGTGTCAGTATATTTACAAATGGCTTTTTAATTTAATAGACTGGAAAAAGGATGACTGGTTTCCATCAGGCAGTTCACTCAGTGTACCCTCTTCATATGTGATTTTTCTTCATAATCCTTAAACAAGAAGGGACAGGGGCTTGAAAGGGACCGGAGGGGACCTCTTTCTGGTGTCCTTCTGAGCGTCTTACTTACAAGCTATGCCTGTGGTGAGGAGCCCTGAGCAGACATCCACGAGTGGGCACAGAAACGCAGGCCCCATCCAAAAGGCGCTGTGAGGCCAGAGATCATTTTAAAATAGACTTCCCATAAAAGCAACTACAGCGTATTATTTAGCCTCTGTGTGTGCTCTGCTAATATAAACAGCTTTGCTACCAACATGGAACAACCCTTTTGTTGCCAGGAGAGATTTGGCCTCTGGAGACGTACTCAGTAGTCAATACGCTTCTGCTTAAGGCCTGCGATGGGTGGGAAGTAACCCTGCCTGGGACAGTGTTGGCAGCATTCTGGTGCTAGGGGCTTTGTCTGCAAACAGCTGTCCCAGTTAGGAGACATCAATGATTTTCAGTAAAGATTTTTTCACACTGATAATTATTTTATGAGCACAAGGTGGATTATTTTAGTAATACTATTATTATAATTGTTAGGCTAATCCAGAAAATGCTACATTCTTGTCACCAAATTTGGATAAAGCATCTCAAAAGGGACCATGACTTTGTAGAAATAGGGAGTCCCGTCATCCAGGGCATCACGTGACCCATCCTTGGTATGACTGTTCTCCTACTGGAGCCCATTTGACTCATCATGCTTCTCATTTTATTCACTTTTTAATTCATTTACCTAGTGAGTGTTTTGGGCTCTTATTGACTACAAATTCTGCGAATAAAAACCACTGAGAGAGAGGGTGAACGTGGGCATGTGAAGAGAAGGGTGGAAGATTTTATGCACGTTTCATGACTAATACCAGGTCTACATCCTTGGAGTTCCAAGGAATCAATCTTATATTAAGTAAGAACTTACTAAAGAAAAGTGCAGAGAGTCAAACAGCATAATGAAATCCCAGACTCCGCTCTGAAAAGCATGCAGCTGAAAATGACCATACAGTGTGAAAGCACCCGTGAGCCTCATACCGAATTCTCTTTGCTAAGTGTGTAAGAGCGATGAGTGGAAGGGAGCTGTTTATAGCAGCTCATCCTTCTTGCCTCAGTCCCTATGGGTGTCGTTAAACAGGATGAAAGGCCCGTGACGATTCGAGACACTTGGAGGCTGATCCACAGAGGACTCGGACACACCACAAGAATCTCCCAGAGCGTCATGACTGTTGAAGACTTTGAGACCATTGACGCAGGGTATTATATTTGCACTGCCCAGAATCTCCGGGGACAGACCACAGTAGCTACCACTGTTGAATTCTCCTGACTGGGAAAATGAAGGGTAACGAACTGATGGAGAGCCCGTTTGTGTATGCAAGCAGCTTGGGCATTCTTTCGACCTGTGCTTTGCCAGAGGCTGATGTCAGGTGCCAAACCCCAGCCCCTGCTCGTGAGAAAGACCCAGACGGCCAAGCTCACGGGAGGTCATCCGGTCTAATAATAGAAGTGTTAACTCCTCTGACAGAAAGCATGTCTTTTGACTGCTTACCTACATGTATGCGTTTCTAGTTTATATACTAAGAAAGCATATATGTAAATAACTTGATATAATCGTTTCTATTAAATGAGCAAGTTTTTGTAAAAAAAAATTAAAAACTGGGCTAAGTGCTCATTATTTTTAGGTTGGCAGAAGGATTTGTTAGTAATGTTTGAGTCAATACCTAATATTGCAGTTGATTTAACCACAATTCATGAGAATCTAAAAATGTAGTAATATATAGTTCAACTCTATGAACTATGATATGGAGGTCTCCAAGAAATGATAGAAACTTGCTTTTTATTTAAAGAAAACTGCTGCGCTCAGAAGTATTAGTTTTAGATGTGTACATTCAGTAAGATATACAGCATGTGGTTTTAGAAGTTTAATTTTCACTATAAAATAGGTGTACAGATCAGGGAAAGTTCCACCTCATTTAGATGGTTTTTTTTTTAGCTTCTTCAAAAATATTTAGACCATATTTGTCCCCATTTTCTTACCTTAAAGAGTAGAAATTGTTAAAACTAGTCAAAAGTTATTTCTCCAAAATATATAGCTTTTTAAAAAAATGCTTAGCCTCAGTTTAGCTCTGCAAGCCAAATTTCAGCCATGGCCAACTTTGTGGATGCACTGGAAATGCCTGGGAAACAGCTTAGGAAATACAACGTCAACTCCTGTGCCGTGAGAAGGGCTGGAACTGGATAACATGTTGGAGAGTGAAGTATATACCACAGGTTGCACTTCTTATATTAAATATCCCAGCATTATTTATTTAATCAAGGTAAAAATACACTTTGCATCATTACAAACTGAGCATAATTACAGTTTTTTACACATCTATTTCATGACGGGCCAACATTTTGCGTCCTATGTGAAACATTTGGTTTGAGAAAAAAACCTTAAAGTTCTCTGTTTTGTTTCCTATCTTCTCTCCGGTTGTCTCCCATTCTCTGAAGGCATTTTATACGAACTGCGTAAGGTTGATTTCCCCGGACACCTAAATGGTATGGAGGAGAGCAGAGAACAGCACAAGATTTACCAAGCGAGGGAATGGATGGCAAATCCAACTTTGGCTAATGACATTGAGAGCAACTTGAAAGGGCAAAGAGATATTTCGGAAGGTGGCAGTGAACCTAGTTCTCATGTATCAGAGTGGACGTGGAAGGTTACATACAGAATAAACTATTGAAGTTTAGACTTCAGACACAATCACTAAGAATAAAATAAAACATGCATCATGAATATAATCTGCTACGTAGTGTACAGGTAAATGATGACTCAAATATCCACCTTTAGTATCCTGAGTCTGTTCTTACTCTAGCGGTTATTTGCACAGCCACAGAACGTCAGCAATGCGGATTAGTAAATTCTGACACCCCAATGCTGACACAAGCAGGAGAGGGGGACATGCCACAGTTCTTCCTCCCACCTCACTCAAAGTATTGGAATTGCGGGAGGGAAGAGGTGAAGTTTGGAAGAGCAATGGAAATGCAGGATGGAGGACAGTTCTACAATATAAGCCATGTTTTCTATTCGTCAGTGGGCCATTCCGCCTTCCCAAAGACAGAAGGTTTCCTCAAAGGGCACACAGAACCTTAGCATCATCTTCTACTAAATGCTGCATCACTGGTTTGATCAAGGTACTCCTATTCATCAAGCACTGAATCTACCTTCCTGAGTTCTGCTAGTCAATGACTTGTTCTTTATTCCTGCTAGGGTTTCCCAAAATGTGCACCATCAGATCCAGGCTGTAATTTCTTTGGAAAGTGGTTTCAGCACCATGAGGAAGAGCTGGCTCTGGAAAAGCATTTTCCATTATCCTTGTCCCAGAGAGAAATGGGGAGGAGGTAGAAGGTTCGCTTTTGTGGCTCTGGCTAGGGGAGGAAGTGCAGATACTGGGAGAAGACAGTTTCTACAGCAGAGGACAGCACAGGTCAAGGTAGGCGTGAGGCAGAAGCAATCACTGCTGCTGCCCCTCCTCTTTACATAGAATCTTAGAAAAATTAGGGTTTTGCATTTGCTCGTAGCCTGAGAAGATGGATCATAGTAAAACGTTAGGATCATGTGGGAAAGCTAGAAATCTACAGAAAAATAACCTAGTTTGTTTTAACAGACATGGCTGAACACTGAACGAATGCCAGGATACTTCAACAGACCGCCCAGACACAGGGCAAGTCAAAGCTCTTCCCGCCCTTCCCCTTGGCCCTGGCATCAAAGGGCAGAGTGGAGTGGGTGGTACAGAGTCATCATTCAAGCAGCTATTGCTCTTTCTTCTATGGCTTTTTGCAGAAAAGCTTACACTGACTTTACTGATTAGTACATATCCAGAACTTTCGGTACATAAGGAAGGAGGCAGCGTCAGACACAGGACACTCTGCCGCACCCATTTTATTCACACATCCCCCAGGTAAAAATCACAAGGCGGTGCCTGTGACGAAGGACATTATAAAGGTTATAAATCTCTAGCTGAAGAGGCCCCTGAGAGTTGTTCTCCTTATGCGTACATGAAGAAGGCAATGTTCTTGAAGTGCGTTGTGCGTGTGTCCGTGCAGATCGATTCCGAAATTGTTTGGGGATGAGTCTCCTGGCCAGAGAGTCACGTGTCCCCCCCTCCACACAGCTTCAGTCTCACTAGAAGCTGATGCTGGGGGTGGAGGCTTTCCAGTTCTAGTGCGGTAATGACACGTCAGCTCACGTGGCTCTTGATCCCACGACCGCGGTCAGGGTCAGCGCTGCACACCTGTGACAATGCTCTCAGACAGTCTCCCCGCTTTCAGCAGCGTCATCTGGGTGAAACGCTGGGGCTGGGGAAGGAGCCCGAATTCCTTGGGGACGGGAAGGGGATGGCAGGGGACGTGGGGGACCTGTCAGAGCTGCACAGGTCCCCGTTGTGCAGCTTCCACAGCAGCTCCTCGTTCTCCATGGACAGTCGCTTGTTGACCTTTGACTCCTTCTCCAGCCACTCCTGCAGGGTGGCCTGCTCCGTGGTGAGTTGCCTTGGAGACAAAAAAGAGCCAGAAACCACATAGGTCTGTGTTTCTAAAACCAATTTTCCTTACCATTTTGAGACTCCAGAAAAACGACCTGTTTGGAAAATTAAGAGGTGGTCCTGCAGAGCTACTGGGCACGGGCATTTGGCTCGCTGAGACACCCGTGATGTGGGAGCTGCAGCCCGAGAGAGCACTGCACTTTGGGGCGATTCGCAGGAGGCTCAGGGAGGCTCCCACAGGTAATCTGCATGTCTCGTGACCGTCCTGTGTTTGGGGCTGTTCTCTACTGGGTCCTGTGATGCTCCTTCTCTGAAAGCATTCTCAGCAGCCAAGGGCTCTGGGGGGAAGGCTGGCCTGCTGGGTCTCAGGGTTTAGTCCAGGCCCCCGAGGTGAAAGCATGAAGTGCTACCATCGCATTTTCCAGCCGGAGACTGGCACCCGTTTCACCACCCGCTCCCATTCCATTTCCAAGAGGCACCCGGGTGGCACTAACCGCGTGAGGGAGGGAGGAGCTCATGAAAGCAGGGCCTTTTCTGTTTACCTTGAAATGGCAATGTGCTTGTCTATCCGAGCTTTCAATTCCTCGTTCTCCTGCTGAAATCGCTTCAGTTTGTCGACCAGTGCCGAGTTGTTGTCCACCTTGGTATGAACAAGAACGCAAAGGATTATGCACTAAAAACATGTAAATGAGGCCCCTCGTTTCCTGAGACACCTTCCTGACACGAGTGCACTTTGGAGAGATCTAATTAAGAAAAGTTTAATTGTACATTGAAATATCCATACACAGACTCGTTGCAAGACAGAATCTAAAGCAGAACTAAGTACGTAGGGGCAACTGAGCTGTTCCAGGTCACACGCTGTAGAAGCCGCCGGAGAACTGGTGTGCTGCCTGACCCGGGCCACCCTGGGGCGGTGCCTCTCAGGCTCAAGGTGGGAAAACAAAAGCAGCAGCTAGACACAACCCTGCCTTTATCAAGGGCACCAGAGCTTCTTATGGTCCATTTTGCAAAATATAAAATTAAAAATCCCCACGCTGGATGAACACTCAAAAGGCCAACACTTCGCGGTGCTGGGCGATGTTTGCCATGGCCTTAAACGTGGCCTCCTGGCTCCTCCTCGGTGTGCACCGCTCAGTGGCCACAAAGCAGCACTTCCCAAAGCTCTGCAGAGCGCCCGGCAGGAGGGACCACAGGACAGAGAGCCTCCCTCCTTCGCGCCACTGAAGGCACTCAGCTCTCCCGCAGGCCTGCCCAGGCTAAACTTCCAAGGAAGACAAACTGGTCGGCTGTGAGGGTCGAGGATTAACTCCCAGAAGACATTTAATCAGTGAACACGATGAACGGCTGCTGCCATCCCCGCTCACTTTCTAAAGGGAAGACTTTATTTGCTTAGGAGGCGGCATCACAGCTCAATTAATTCTAAGCCCCTGTCATTTGCTGTCCTCGGTGACTGATGAATCCACTTTGATCAAGGCTCTGAGTTGGGATCCTATTGTTCAACGTATTATCCAGAAAATGCTCAGGATAAGTCAGGTGACACACCACTTTAAAAAAATGAGATTGGAATGTGAGAAAAAGCGGGCGTTGGAATTTCCAGGAATTATAAAGGAATTCAAGGTAAAACATTTGTGGGGGAAACCTGCAATCAGAGACGGGGCAGCCATTGGCCTTAAAACTGTCTCCCATCCGGCCCTCGTGGTTCGGAGGAGGACACTGACCCTGCTGATGATGCAGAGCTTAATGGCCCAGAGTTTTCACGCTGAAGCTTTCATACCGAGAAAGCCCCCACGCCTTCAAGTGTCTTGTCTTCCACAAAGACCTGAATCGCGCAAATAAGTAGGTAACAGCGGGTTTCCCCTGTCATCATCCCAACCTGTTCTCCTGCACGGACGCAGTGCGGCGCTGCCTCCTATCCCGATAGCTCTGCGTCACGGCAAGACACAGGAATACTGAGGAACGAACAAAAATTGAAATGCGCTGGTGGTTTTACAGCGGAGTCTGTTCTTCCTGCACGTGATGGTCGGAAAAACCCTGAGGCATGAAAGCCACGTGGGGCCACAAATTAATATTAACAGGATCACCCGAGGCATCGCTGACTGACAGGCTTCCCAGCATAGGACAACCTTTGGCAGAAACAGGCAAATGTACTAGGTCGGGCCCATTAACAAGCCATGAATTCCTTTCCTTCCTTTAAAAGTCAGACTTTCTTGGTAATTCAGAGTGCCCCTCTAGTCACAGGGTGGCTTAGCCCTCACCTCCCTCCATAGAGAGGTAGTCGTCTCCAGAAAAAATGCAAACCAGACACCCAAAACCCAAATAAACAATAAAAGCAAACAAGGAGTGACTCTATGCTCCCTATTGTCCAGGGCTGGTCTGCGTGTGAGTGAGGCAATTACTCAAAAATCGGTCACTAAAAATTGGGAGAAGGGACAAGCAGGGCAGCAGGCAGAGCCCGGCAGTGCTGGGGTCACCCTGGCTGCCTTGCCAGGCCCTCGCCCACCTGACAAGACTCCTGGCTGGAGCGGCTATGCCCCAGGGCTGGCCCTGACTCCCACGGAACCCTGGGCTCCTTGCTCACACACCCAGTTCTGGATACACTTGTCGCAGGCTGACATCCGTTCTCTGTCCTGGAGCCGCAAACTGGACTCCATTTACATTTTCCATAATGCACGTGATTTACACAACCGGATTTTAATAAAGCACAGTTCTCTCATCACATTCTAATTCCCAAGAAGCAGGATGAAGAACTTAGATATCAAGATTAACCTGCTCACCAATCTGTTTGGGGCTTACGAAACCTGCCCAGAGTTGGTGATAAATTAAAGTACTGCTTTTACATTATTTCAAAACTCTTCCAACGCAGGTGAAGATTCACCGACCACTGAAATGGAAGCCTGATTGGTCTGTTGTGGTTTCCCAAGGACCCCATGCTGCTTTGCATGTCCCTTGGCGGGGGTGGGGGTGTGGGGGGAGTTCCCAAAGGCAGCAATGACTGAGCCATGAGCAATCACAGAAAAGAAAACGAACCCTCTTTTACCATTCGTCAAGGTTTTGAAGAGCCTGCAGGGGCAGTTAAACCCCCCACAGCTGTAGCTCAGAGCCCAGTGCCTGCTTCACAGACCGGGTTCTCTTCGGTGAGGCCACACAGGAAACCTACCAGTTTCTCCATTTGCATCAACTTGACGTCCTGCTGGTGCAGCTTCTCGTTCTTGATCTCCAGCACAGCTTTCAGGCTCTCCAGCTCCTGCTCCAGATACATGATCTGAGGGTTTTTCTGGAAAAGACGCAGCAGAATATAGCTCTGACTGGTTGTGAAATACGACCACATAGTTCATGTTCTTAATATAAACAATCTTCGGTTAGACTTAGAAATCAGACAAAGTGGCAAGAAACGTCTACCTTCTAACTGTAGTTTCAAAGAAAAGAGGAAAAAGAAGGGTTAGGGTAACTTTAATCTCTAAGCCACTGGTGATAAGAGTGAAATAAAACATTTCATATTTGAAAGCAGGCATTTCATTCATTTATCGGTAACTTAATGTGGAAAAATGGAAGCACCAAATATCTAATCGGACATAGGAGAAAAACTATCGCCCAGTAGCACAAAACAGAACTCTGACTAGAAGTGAGGCCCCTCCAAGCCCATTCTTGGTGTTTGGAGGGAGAAAAAGGAACGACAGTTCTCTCTCACCAAAGTCAGTACCTGCTCAGGAACCAAGGGACGGGACATATGTAGGGGTGTCTGGAAAACACTGAAATGACCATCATGTCCTGCGCCTGTTGGATTTTGATTATGATGTGACTGTGTTGGCCTGGCCACCCTCCTAGGGCAGCTGTAACACCTAACCTTTTGTTTTGTGACCCCCCAACATCTACATGGCATAGAGCACAAGTACCACTAAAAGTCTATCAAAAATAAACAACTACATAAGGGGAGCATGACTCCAGGGTGGATTCCCTGACTCCTTGCATTATTATAGAAATTCAAGTGAACCATCCAGAGTGTATGATGCAAACAGACAGAAGGAGATCTATGGATCAGATGTTCAATGACAGTTTCTTAGACAAGAATCAGTGGCTTAGAGCCCTGGCTGGTGTAGCTCAGTGGATTGAGGGTGGGCCTGTGAACCACAGTCCCTGGCCTGTGATCGTGGTTTGATTCCCAGTCAGGGCACATGCCTGGGTTGCAGGCCAGTTCCCAGCAGGGAACTCACGAGAGGCAACCATACATTGATATTTCTCTCCCTCTCTCCTTCCCTTCCTCTCTAAAGATAAATAAATAAAATCTTTAAAAAAAACTTAAAAAAAAGAATCAGTGGCTTAGATCATCAAAACTACCCTCCTGGACCAAGGCTCCAGACCAATCCTCAGGGAGAATGAGAGAGTGGGCCCTTGGGGACGATTTAATCACACCCCTGACTTCACAAAAGGAGAGACAAGTTCCACAGCTCAAAGGCCCTGCCCAGGGAATGCACTGGGGCCAGAAAGTACTGGGGCAGCAACTTGAACTCCACGGTTCTCCCGAACATTTCCTACATTTCAGATGCTGTTATTCTTTTACATATGATTTTTTTACACCCTAAAGATAGCAAATCCTATCTAATTTTCTTTTTTTCCTCAACAATTTTATTTAGTTCTTTTTCAAGTACAGTTTTTTGCCTGTTACTCCCTTCCCAGCCCCCCCATGTGCTCCCCACCTCCCTCCCATTTCCACCCCCCCCCAGTTTTCATCCTTGTGTCCTTCATATTTGCTTCTCCAGATCCCTCCCCTATCTAATTTTCTTAAAAAAGAAAAAGCATCACTTATTCTTTCAATTTTTAAAACCACAGCACCGGCAGCACAGTTCCCCGCCCCGACTCTCCAAGGTTTTCTCTTTCCCACACCCTTGCACGCCCAGCCAGAGGGGGGCAGCATGGACATTCCTGCTCCCATCAGGCTGTGTCCTCAGTTTTTCAAAAGCCTCTGCCTCGCCAGGAAGTGCCGGAAAATCTATAACCCAAACCATTAAACCATTAGGAAGCTTTACCTCCTGCAGGTTAAGTCTAGATTTTTTTTTGAAACCACTCTTTTTTCTAAGAATCTTCCAGAATAAATAGCTTTGAAGTGTCATTGAATATGACTTCATCTAATTGTACGGAGATGTCCCGGGGGTCTCTGGGTGACTGTCAGTGGGAGACCCCACACAGGTCCATTGTGAGCTGGCAACAGATTTTAAGTAGCAAAAAAGCTTTGCTTCCGCTGTCTCAGGGCACTGAGGTATGGAATGGTAAGTCCTCAAACCATGAGCAGGAAATCTGTTTTCTCAAACAAAAGAGTAGGGCAGGGGAATAAGGATACGAGCTACAGGAGAAAGTTGAGCTTACAAGAGAAATCTGTACTTTTCGAAAGTGAGGAATGATCCACACAATGAAATACTATTCAGCCAAACAAAAGGCATGAAGTACCTATATGTGCTAAAATACACATGAACATTGCTAAATGGAAGAAGCCAGACACAAAAGGCCACCTATGCACGATTCCATCTGTAGGAAATGTCCGAACGAGGCGAAGCCACAGTGACAGAAAGCAGTCTGGTGGCTTTCCAGGGCGGGGGCCTTGTGCGGAATGAGGGGTGGCTGCTAGAATTCAAGGTTCTCCTGGGTAAAAATGTTCTGGGGTTAGATCTTGGCCACCAACCCACAGCTTTGCCCACCTACTAAAAACCACTGAATTAGACATTTAAAAAGGTATCTCAATAGAGCAGTTAGCAAAAAAAAAAAAGTGAAAACTTCAATAGTTTTCTTGTCTTCCTGTAGGTATTAGATTAGACCACTTGCAATATATATTGGGTTTCATCGGCATGTCAGTTTTTAAGGTTTAAAAAAAGACACCACTAAACAAAGAAGCTGGTTAAGGAGCACGCCACCGCAAGACTGCAAAGGATTCGGAATGCATGCCCTTTCTCCAGCCGCTGCACACCAGTCCACGTTACAACGTACTGAGGAGGAGAAGAGCTCATAGTGATGGAGGGGCAGACGTGACTTACTGAATTTGCTTTCTCTCTTGAGATTCTTTTCTGTTCTTCTGATTTCAGCTTTTCATTTAAAGCCTCATTTTCACTCTTCAGATCATTGATTTGTTTCTAAAACACAAAAAAATGAAATGTGGAACATATGTGGAACGCAAGTCAACAAGCAGACACCAGGAACACAGCTAAATGTGTGCACAGAAACATACCAAAACCATACAAACCTCCAAACCTCACGACCAATGATTTTTTCCCCTGGGTATTGAGATTTACTCACCTCTAGGGATTCCTGCTTCTCAGAAAGCGATTCCTCAAGTGATTTCTTTTCTAATTCATGGCTTTTCTTGATTTCTGGAAAGAAGTGATATTTTTTTAACATCCTATGAGATCACTATATTCTGTCATGAAAGCACAGAGATGTCATTGATGATGATGAAGCAATATGACTGTTACTTTTTATTTGTATGATGCTTTTATTCAAACTAAGCTGTTCTCAGACTCGCCCTAAGAGGTGAGTAAGGCACATGTTCCCATTTTATTACCACAAACACAAAGGCCCACAGAGGCCAAGAGCGTGTGGGCAGACCTCCAGGGGCGGCCCTGCCCCCCGGCCTGCACACGCCCAGTCTGGAGCTCCTGTGCTCCCCATCTGCATGTTGTGAATGCACGTTTCAAACAGAAATCTGAACATGAACCCATTTCTAGCAGGAAGGAAGAGAAACACCGTTTATGAAATGTCTACCCTCAGCCAGTCACTGTTACGTGTTGTCATTGGACTTCACAAAACAACTCTATTTTCTGATGAGAAAGGCCTTTGCCCAAGGTCGCACAACCAGCTCTTGCCACCCATCTACATGCCTCTCTGTGGGATACAATGAGTTCAGTGTAGCAATTTCAGCTACATGACCAACTGTGTTCTGCAAGAAATGGCTTCTTATTCTTTTCCTTCGACTTCCACCCTTCCAATCATGATGACATAATAAAAAAGTCTGTCTTTATTCGACAAGCACTGCCTTGCTCTTCACAGCAGTGTTAGTGTGTCAGTGTGTTGGTGAGCAAGACCGCTTAGTAGGGATCCCATATCCTGGCCAAGACACAAACCAGCACCTCTGCTTCCCAGAACCTATGGTGGTAGAGCACAGCTGTCCTAAAGGCCTTCAAGTTCATTACAATTTTGCCTACTTCCTATTGTGCTGTCATTTATAAGAAATTATTATTTGCATCCTTGGGGAAAGGACATTGGCCAACAATGAACAATGCAAAAAGAACCCAAAACACGCCAAACTGAATGCCAGAGGGTGTTCTCTGGAGAGGGAAGTCATGAATCATTTCCCTTTCAAAACACATCATGCCGTTCCATTAGACCTTATTCTATTTAAATGGAAAAAAGCATTCTTGCCTGAAAGGGAGGTTTCATAGACCTTCTTCAGTAATTTTACTTCATCTGAGTGGCTAGCTTCAATCTCCAACTTAGAGGTTTCATGGGCAGCTTTTAAGTTGTCAAACTGTAAAAAAAAACACACAAAACAACAGTTCACCAGCAAAATCCAAAGTCCTAGGCTGAACAGCAATCAGCAACATTGGGAAACCTGACATCTAAGCTTGAGGACTACCATGCACAGACCAACCCCATTTGAATTTGCCACTCCCAGGTCTCCACTCTGTCCCCACTCAGGATCACCAACACCCAGCTGTCCAGGGCTTGCTGGTGAAAAGGGCTGAGGCTGTCACAAGGAATGAGGACACGTTTCCTGGGGACGGGACCATGGAAGCTCTGCACTGGTCACATTGGCCTGTACGTCTTCAGTCCCTAACACGTGGAATGTAGTAGGCACTCTAGATATTTGCTAAGTGAAAAACCGACTTTAAAAGGGAACACGGAAATGAAAGAGCAGCTTGTGGTATATTAAGTGAAAAATAGGGGTTACTAAACAAGTTCCATTAAAAAAAAATCAAACCAATGGTTCTACAGCACACCATCAGAATGCTCACAAAAGGATTATTTTTAGGTAATAAGAAAAAGGGTTGTTTTTAATTTTATTGTTGCCCTTCCCTTTTGCTCAACACTGGTACGCTGCTTTCATCATAAGAAAAAATAATTAAAAAACCCTCGTCATTGTTTTAAATAAAAGAAAAAGTTCTTCAAGGGATGTTCAACAGACAAGTTCGCAGAAGGAAGTGGATTATCAAAGAACAATTAAAATTCAAATAAATAGCTCAAAACATGCTCAGGCTCCAAAAGCACAGACCTGCTCTTGCAGTTGCGTTTTGTACTTCTCTGCTTCTTCGATATAAATGTTCTGAAGCTTCTCACACTCCTCAGTGTAAAATTCTTTGAGCCGATTCTCTAGCTCTGTTAGATCAGTCTGGTGCTGCTGGTTTAACTTCTGGACAAATCCTTCATAAGCTATTTGCAGCTCACTCCTGGCTTTTTCTAATTTCTCACAGGTGGTTGAAGCAGTGACTGAAAATGGACAAAAAAGGAAAAAAACCACATTTGATTTGTTAAGTGTCCTAAATTCATAATATTCACACACAGCTGTGATGTCTCAGTTCTTTGATGATCAAACCTAATAGTACAGTAAAAAAAAAGGGGGGGGGGGCTGGGACAAGGGGAAATGGGTCCTGGCAGAAAACACACATGCAACGCTCTCTCTACAAGCAATAAGAGAAGAGCCAGGTTCCCAAGTGAAGGTAACCCTTTCAAGTGGTGACCAATCAGTGCAGGAGCTATACAGAGAGGAGACTCTGATTGGCCAGGTGTCTCTAAGGCGAGCCAACCAATAAGAAGAAGCTAAGACACAAAGGAACAGGGAAGATCAGAAAGAAGAAGCACATGGGTTAACCTTGTACTTAATTTGAGCTGATTTCAAATTATTTCAAAAACATAACAATTAAAAAAAAACAACAGAATATTCGACTATATTGAAAATAAATCACCAGAGCATAAAAACTTCAGGAAAAACACATTTTAAAAGCTACATAACATAATACAATGTCATCATCATCATCATAATAATATATTGAAAGATTAACATATAAAAAAGGCAAAGTAATTTGACACACACAATTGAAATAAAATCAGTCCACCCACTCTTTACCACTACCCAAACTCTTTACCACTACCCAAACCAGAATTGCCAGCGATACACCAAACGAACACACACACACACTCCCACATTCTATAACAAGCCCTGAAAGATCGCTATTGTTTCTCAGGAAGGCTGACGTTGAACTTTTCCAGCCTCTTTTCACTGATGTTAAACACAGGGAAGTGGGATGACATAAAACGGGGACTGGTGAATCTGTGACATTCATTCTTACCTCTCTTTCAGTAAGGAGTATGTATATTAGGAGTTTTGGAAGGAACACAATGGATTTAGAGTAGAGAAAAGGAAAGTTTAGATCGATGATGATTCTACCTAAGTACTGTGGAATGGGCTGGCTCCTGGGATGAATTCAGGCTGTGACGTAGGCTTGTTTTCTTGGGAATACGCCACGTGGCAGTAAAAAAACCAGCCACTGTCCCATAGCAGTATTGCTTCAGAGGTAAATGGGCCATATTGAAATAATGACAAAAACAGTGTCTGCTAAAGAGAACCCTTACAATTCAAGCAAACCCACAAGTATTTATTAACGGGGAAAGGAACTCGCATTAAAAACAGAAATGACTACTTGGTGACTGGCACCAAATGGGGCTCCCTATGCATTAGCTCGTCTAGCCCCTGCAGGAGTCCTGTGGGGACCATGTTTCTAAATGCAAATACACACTAGGAAGCCAAAAGAGGGGACAAACAACTTGCTCACGGGCTGGTAGCCAGGAAGTGGCAGAAGACTGGACTGCAGCAAGAGGTTCGGATTCTGTCGGTGTTCCTCCCACTCCATCCAGCTGCCTCTTGTGCCGAAAGCCAAGACCCGAGCGTCTCCTTGGGAGACTCCCTAACTGAGGAGACCAGACACACATGTACAGGACACGGGGACACAGGGCAGCACCTAAGGGCCCAGCAGATGGCGCTCAAGCTGGTTGACATCCAACTAGGGTGGTCTGGTCTGTTTGGTCAGCAGATTAAAAAAAAATTTTTTTAAAACTTCTTTGGAAAAAATATACATAACAAAGTGTAGTGTTTTAATCATTCTTAAGTGTGCAGTTCTGTGCCATTAATTTAATTCACCCTGTGATGAAACCATCAGCACTACCCACCTCTGAACCTTCCCCCAAACGGAAACTCCCACCCAACTAGACGATCAGTCTTCACTGCCCCTTCCCCTCAGCCCCAGACAAGCGCCATCCTACTCTCCGTCTCCATGAATTGGACTATTCTAGGTGTGTCGTACAAGAGGAATAGCGTAATATTTGTCCACCCGTGACTGGTCTACGTCACTTACCGTGATGTCTTCAATGCTCAGGAGTCAGAATTTCCTGCCCTGTTCTGAGCTGGGTGATAGTCTCCTGTAGGTATGGACCTCATTTTGCTTATCCTGCCCTCCCTCCGTGGACACGGGCGTGGCTTCCACCTTCTGGCTACTACACTGCCACGCACGTAGGGGAAGGTCCCAGAAGGCAGAGGGAGGCCAGATTACAGAGGCCATTGCACGGAACCTCACTGACAAGTCTGTCCTTTGGGATGAAATTCTGGGAGTTATTTTTTTCTTTAAAACCATTTCGTAAAAGATGACTACGTCAATCACCACAGAACATCGTCTTCACATTCACTTTTCCTTTTGTGGCACTAATTTCTTACCAAGGGAGAAGAAATCGATTGGAGGATGCCGATGTCAGTCAAACGAGTCAACACAACCCTGCCTTCTGCTAACTAGCTCTACAAAGCGCACAGGTGAGATGCGGGGCCGCAGGGCCCTGTGTGGATCCTCTGTTACAACTCCGCTGGAAAGCGGGCCACAGAACGTTATTTTGCAGGCAGTCCATAAAAGTACCAAATAGCTTTCCAGTCAGAAAGAAATGCTGCTTTCACATATTCTTTTTGCTTAATTCCCTTGGAAGTCCAGATACCAGGAGGAGGAGGTAAAAAAAGGAATGACATGATCCCAGCCCATCCAAATGCTCAGATCAGAACCAGAAGTGTGTAAGTGCACAAAAACGTGGAAGCCGGCCACCGTGAGCGGGGTGAAGGGAGGACAGACACACAGATGGGAGGGAAGGGCCAGATGGGGAGCGGGTGCTTTACTGCTGCTGGTACAAGTCCAGGGCACAGGCCAGCCCCAGCGGTGACATCAGCCTGCAGCTGTGTGGGGACCTCTGCCCTGTTTACCACCCTGTTGCTGCACGGAGAGCAGCTGGGCTGGAGGGACCCCTCGCACAAAGGGCTTTACTTTGAATTAACTGGCCGGGGCTCCTGAGGAAATATTTATTTGGCCTAAAGACCAATGAAATACTTTTTTAAAGGACACACGTAAATATTTATCAAGGGTCCTCGGAGTGTTCCTGTCAGCTGGATGCACTCTGTGGGGGGGGGGGGGGGCGTCACCCCATGTTTTGGTCACGGACTTTCTCTTGCACTGGTCACAGTTTAGGAGAGATTTCTAACATCACTTCTGTTTTTTATTCTCCGTCTCATCTCTTCTTCTCCAGAGTCCCACTCACTTTCAGTCAATTAACCAGACACCCAACAAAGCCAAGAACCGAGTATAAAGTCTTTCCAAATTTAGACTAAGTCATAAGCAGGGAGTTTTCCCACGCAGTTAGGTGACACTGGTTTCGAGAAGTTATTGCATAAATACAAAGTCTACCCGGTACAAAGTCCTTCTGTCCTTGTAGTTTAAATCATTCCATTAGGCGATTTTTGGAAGCATGCCTGACTAACGGCACCCAAAGACCACTGTCTGTAGGAGCGAGAGACTGCAGCTTCCACACACGCACTGGGAAAGCCATCTCCCGTGGTCTGCCGTAAAGTGAGAAATACAGTTTTCAGTAACAAAAAAAAAGGTGCCCACTCATTTGCAAGGTTAACCCTAAAACATAAGGCCGTGTTATAGATTAGAAGTGAATGTTTTCCCTCTGGGGCAACTCAGGCCTGAGAACTCTAGGCCAACAACAAGACAGGAAAAACCTAGGGACGCTCCCCGATCGCTTGAAACATCGACTGATGAAGAAGGAACAGAGGTTTCAGAGGAAGTAGTGGAATGCTTTTCCCTTTCAAATAACTCCCTGGATGACATCTAGCTTTAAAGGCCAATGTCAGAGTCAAATATGACCTCTGAAAAGCAGAATTGGAAAGATAGAGTTGGATGTATCCCAGGTCCTTTAGCAGTAATCCCCAAGGAGAGAAAATGGAGCTATTGCCTAATTGGTCCTGGCAGGCTTTCTTAAGAGTGGGAGGTCAGGTTTTTATTATTTCCATCTTGTGGAGACGAATGTCCCTGCGGCGACTGATAAATGTGCTGTCTGCTGAGAAAGCCATGGCCCCACGTTGTTAATATGCTTTAGAAATAATACAGAAATTTCTTAATTTTTATATCTGAGTAGCATGCTTCCCCGTGAGACAACCACAGACATTTTCATTCTCAAGAATATAAATAAATGTCTTAATAGAAAAGAGCTAGAAGTCTCAGGTTCTAATGTCAGCCCCGCCATTTACCGGCAATGTGATTTGAACATATTACTGAAGCTTTCTAAGCCTGAGTTTCCTCATTTTTTTTTTTAACAAAGAGAATATTTCAGTGCCTTCCCTGTGGGATTACCTAAAATAATACATGCAAAGTACTTGGCCTAGTGCCTAACCAGAGTCAGTATGCAATAAATGCTACTGTTATTATTAGTAGCCTTGCAAAAAGTCCACCAATTCAAATGTTTGAAGAGTCCTGAGAGACATGTTTGGGACCCCATGACAGGATGTGATAGTTAAAAAGAGGCACTGCTTGTCTAGTATTCAAAGAAAACACACACACACACAACTGGGCATCATAGCACACATCACATCAAATCTTCACCTTCCACCACCATTGTTCTCAGCATTATATGCATTAGAATGCTGCCAACTTTTAGGTGATTTTACCTAACTTGGACAGAAAATATAAAAAAGAAAAGGAAAAATAAAACTGGGGAGGTAAGGTTACACGGAAGATCCCACGAATTGTTGTGATGCTGTATAAGAGACTGTGACAGAGGGAAAAGGCAAGCAGAAAAAGATGAGTTCATGTCCCAACTGTACACACACGTGTCCCTTAGATGCACCCCACAGGCCAGCTGTGGGTGCCAGCCCTCCCTGAGCAGACAGCCCCCCTGCTCCGCCCCATCTGTAAGAGGGATGAGCGCCTGTGGCCAGCTCCGCTTGCTGCTCTGGGTCCCACACTCGACGTCTCTCTGGCCACCTGGGAAGTCAGACACCTGCTTTCAGTTCTGGTTCATTTCACTCTTTTCTTCAATAGTAATCAGTCTTAGGACAAACACAGTTTGGTTTTATTTGAACTTTTAACTGTGGAATAATTTCAGATTTTCAGAAAAGG